ATTTTATAATTAACTAATTGTAAGAATAATTTAGTAAATATAGTATTTTATAATTTTAGATTTTTGGTATGTATTATTTTAATAATTAAATAATTTTTAGAATGGTTAAAAATTTAAAGCAATATTAAAAATAAGAAAACATTTTTTACTCATATGCCTCGCTTAAGCATTTAAAACTTGAAGTTTGATCTCCACATTTGGCCGCGCTTTACATGTTTTTAGAACATTGGTTGTTCCCTTCATTGCAAGTTTTTCAGGAACCTAAGTGGTTCTTGCTTTTCAAGTTGGTATGTGTAAAAATTTACTCCACACCAATAATGATGTATAATTGAATCCAAGGGTTTACATCATATAGGATCTTGTGATGATTTTCCAGAAATTTTAAAGCCACATTAGAACATATATCTAATAACAATGGGTGGCATTTGGTAATGATTTTCTTCCACAGGAGGGCATCAATGTCTTTCTTGGTCTACTAGAATCAAGATAGCTGTTGATACTGCTAGAGGCCTTTCTTTCTTGCATGATGCTAAAAACAAAGTGATACATCGAAATTTGAAGCCTTCTAGCATTCTTTTGGATGAGGTTTGTTCCTTGGATAACTTTTTTTTTGTCTTTTTGTCTTGGTTTCACCTAAGGTAGTTGTTTGCATAGAAAAAGTAATATCTTGTTACATTATGGCGCAGGATTTTAATGCCAAGTTGTCCGGCTTCAGTCCCGCTAAAGATGGGCCACCTGATGATAAGACTCATGGGTCCACTCGAGTTATGGGTACATGTGGCTACATTGCACCGGAATACCTTCCTACAGGTTTGGCACGACAAAATATTAATTCTCTGCTCCTTTTTCACTTCAAAATCATATTATCATTAATGTCGCCATATTAAACTCCTTGTTGATGAACACGCCATCGGACGGAAAAGTGTGATGTATATAGCTTTGGAGTTGTTTTGCTAGAATTACTATCTGGCCGTTGGGGTTTTGAAATATCTGCTGATGACGAATAGGTGCTAGTGGATTGGACAAGATCATATTTGTCTAAGAAGAAAGAAGTGAATCGAGTGGTGGACCCCAAATTGGAAGGCTAGTACCTTCTGGAAGGAGCAGTTACAGTTTCAAATCTTGCTTTGCAGTGCGTAAGGGATAATCCTAGAAGCAGGCCGCGTATGGCAGAGGTTTTAGCCACATTGGAACGACTCTAAGGTTCATATGAAATCAAAAAATAAAGATTATTCTATATCTGCTTTGTCTGTCAGTAACAAAAAACCATCAACAAAATCTGAATATGACACCTTTGGAGTGCCTGTAATTATTGCATGAAAAGTGTTTATGGTGTAAGATTAATAAGTTGGATTTAGTTATTGACAAAATCTTCTCCTTATCATTTCTATCCCTTTATAATTCAAATTTTTGTTGTTTGTTTGTGTGTGTGTGTATCCTCTAAATCAGATCAAATATTCTATATGCCCTACACTTGTTCCGCTAGTCTGTCCATTCCGGCTTACTAAACATGCCTTTGAGTCATTTTACTGGCAAATATTGTTAAAATATTAATCTAGAATCAATGAATCTTGATCTACATACATTTAGAGTAATTGTGGATGAATTTAGTTATGTTCATATATCTAGGACTCTTGAATGGGTGTTTTAAGTTTATCTATTAGCGATTAATTCTTATGTACCCAATATAATATAAAAATAGTTGTTCATTTGTAATATTTGATCATCATAAAAAATGTGAGATCATGGAAGTTGAGTTTTGGAAGAACAATTTTCTTCTCTTAAATTTCTATCTGAAATATTGATAAGTGCGGGTTTTTACACTTATTCGGACCATTCATTTAGATATTTGTGAGTTTTCATTAGTAATTTATTACTTAATTTACTTATTTCTATTGTGTAGGTGAAAACTCAAGTTTGAATGATGATTACAAGTAATTTA